TTTGTTAGATGGGGATATCAGTCAGCTGTGCAATTTATGGAAGTACAAATCTGACAAAATCCCATGACTATAACAAAGTGTACCTCTAAATGTTCTGGGCTGAATCAAAAGGGGTCAGGAGTAGCAGGCTGAGAAACATAAATCATAACCCTACATTCCCTTAAGATGGTCCCGAGACGTTAATCCTCCCACAATTCTATCTCTTTATGGCTGAAACAACAGCAGGATATGGTCATACATCAGTCCCCCCCACATGTCGAGGCTCTGTTACAAAGTTCAGCTGATCCCAAACATTATACATTATGAGACTATTGCCAAAGGGGCTGTCATGGTCAGAGGCTAATCTGCTAATTGCTAAACAGAGAATATAATAATTAAACTGTAGACAGAGACAAGAAAAGAGTTTTTTCCACATTTAATGAGAGGATAGAAATGAATTGAAAATTTGAAGTCTGTTGCATTACAATACACATAATGAGAGAGGTAGATCTTGTAATGAACACCCATTGGCGCCATGATTTTACAACTGGATGAATTACGATGGATGCATGTTTAAATAATGCCAGCGTGGCAAAAGCAGAGGTCGGTTGCAGGAATGGGGTCTTGAGGCATTCCTCGCTACACCTCAGGCTGATCATCCAAAGGTCAAACTGTATAGTAGTATAGTCAGTGGAGGGAAACCCAAAGCTAATGGGGAGAACCATCACATTTTGCTTTCTTGCTTTCTTCTTCCACGGTAGCCTTCCTGTGTCTGGATGTACACAGGTTCACAGCGTTGGAGATCAATGGCAACTTCTGTTCTAACAACCACGATATCCGGAATAGCCTTTCTAACGTCTGAAATATCCTGACCGGGCTTTGCTTTTCGGGACCCTCAGCAGTGGACCTTTTAAGTGTTAACATTTAGCTGCTTTTAACATTTTCTATCCATTTGGTTTTACGTCTTGGGTTCTGGATCGTATTTGTTATTTACTTGTATGGGATTATTTACGATTTTACTTAAATTAGTATATTTCGTAGTGTAGCGCATAGTAACTATGTTTTGGACAGGGGCGACAGTGTTAAGACACAGTGGACAGTGTTAAGACACAGCAGTTAACATAAATTACAGATGAGAATGATGAGAATGTGTTTGGCAGATTCCTCACCATAAACCAATGTAGTGGACATTTTGACCTCACAGTGTCACTCAATGGAACATGTAGGGATCCCTGGAGTCATTACTCATCGTTACTCAATATTCAACGAGTAACAATGAGTGTCAAACCAAATGTCATGGCAGTCCATCCAACACTTTTCAAAATTTTACACTCAAAAGCGAAGTTGGCAGCACTATAAAGAAGTCAGCAGAATGAACATCTGTGTCCAATGTCACAATAATCCATATTATGGTTAGCTCTGCGGCGGCTAAAAACAACCAACCATAAATGTGGTGTTCACCCACCCCAAAAAAAACCTCCAAGCTCTGGGACGGGGAAGCACCGCCTTGGTGATGCAAGACAATAGTGTAACGTCTGTTTAAGAAAGGGTCCTTTGAAAGACAGTTTCACGGATTTGGGAGCAAAAAAAATGATTTCAACCACCAAAACAAACATGTTTTTTTTTTTACAAACTACAGTATTTGCACATCTTCTAGAGTTTGATTATTTCTTTTCTTCTTTTTTTTGTTTTTAGAATATTCATTACCTTGTTTTAATTTATTTTTTTTGAGACTATGGTTTGACTGTGACCGACATTTTCTATTACTTTGGGGGTCGTTGATTTATAACTAATGACATTTCTCAACTTAGATTATGCTGGAAAGAGTCCCCAGGGTTGTATGCTCCCACAAATCATCCGGTGACTCGCTTAGAATAGTGTTGACATAAATAGAACATCATTAGAAAAAAGAAAAAAAAGAGATAGGCGTATTGGAGCCACAAAAGGTTCATTTATTTTGTCTGCACTTTTACCTCAAACCGCTGTAATGTGTCCGACATCCAACCTTTCTTTGATCCTGGATTTAGTATCCTTGTCGTTATTATCTGGTCTTCTCCAAAATGTGTCAGACTTTGTAGTTTTGTGACAGTTTCAACTGGTTCTCTAAATAAACTAGGCTTTCAATGGTGGACGACCCAGAGACCACTGACTTTAAAAGAACTGTAATCCAGCTATTTCCTTTTATTAATTTGATCTCCAAAATGTTTTTTACTACATTGTACATTTCTCTGCTACATTTCAAATTACTTTATTTTAAGTCACGGTTTTCATTTTCTTTAGAAAACCACATTGGTTCCACTTAATTCTACCAATTCTTCTAGTTTTCTAGCATGAAAAAAAATGAACGTCATAATTTGACAAGTTGCAGGAAAACTAAACACATTTTCCCTGGTTGTGATTTTGCAGAAGACACATACCAGAGCTGGGCTTTGGATATGGCAGAGATAAAGCTTGATGACAAAGCGAACAGAGACCCCTCCATCCTGAAGACAGCTTTAAAGATGATGTGGGGACACGTTGTGGTGCAGACCTTTAACTATCAGACGTACCCATAGGACATGCTCGGTTTTACCTTAACACACAAGTGTCCTGGTGTTTGTCCTGATGTTTGTCTCCGTGGAAGCAGGGAGTATGACCATGGGCCAAAACAGTCTGTATTAGTATCGTTAGAGGAGATGATTTCTGTGTATTTTGTGTACAATAATTAAAAGATCACAGAGATAAACCTATCCCCCTGTTATAACCTCATCCTACGTTGTCACCAGTTGAACGTAATCCGAAGCCAAATGCAGATGTCTGAATATAAAACAGGGGTTAACAAATGATATTTATAACTATTGTAACATTGTGTGTAAGGGCTGGTGGGACCTTCCCAGGGAAACAAAAAAATGATTTTGACCATGTAATGGTTTTGGAGGTCTGCCTGGTGAGTTTCCCTCTGTGGTTTTACTGCCTTGCAGGTTGATGAATGTCCCAGTAGAGGCTGGTCTAGTGGTCAGAAAACCTTACAACTATAGCCAGCGTTCCGCCAATCCGAGATGCTTTCTTTCAAAGTGTAAACTATGATTGATGGTCATGTTTCAGCGGAGAACCTGGGAATGGTCCCTGGAGTCGGGGTCGTGACACAGTGGGCTGGGAAAAGGGTTCGGGAAATGAATTTATTTTAAGATGTTGAATGCCAATAAACAACATTCCAGCTACATGGTCTGGCTTGCCACAAAGACCAGGTCCCTCTTTTTTCAGGGAGGTATTAACAAACTTTTTCCTTATCTGGAAAGTTGCCTGTGTAGCAGTGTGGAAATAGGGTTGTCCTGCTACAGTTAACTGCGCCTGCCGACCACTAGGGCGGCGGTACTACATAAAGGCTGCCCCCCTTCTCGCGCCCCACTGAGGCATCATTTCCGGGTCGGGTGTCTCTGCACAGCAGTAAGAGCTAGCGCAATTCGTGGCACTGGCAACCCGCCGAGGCACTTCCTGTTGCAGGTTGCGGTGCCGCGGTGAATCGTGGCAACTGCCTCGACACTGCGGCACTTGCCACGATTTCACGAGGCAGTTGCCACGAATTCGTGGCAACTGCCTCGACACTGCGGCACTTGCCACGATTTCACGAGGCAGTTGCCACGAATTCGAGGCACTTGCCACGAAGTCGAGACACTTGGCACGATTTCACGAGGCAGTTGCCACGAAGTCGAGACACTTGCCACGACTTCGAGACACTTGCCACGATTTCACGAGGCAGTTGCCACGAAGTCGAGACACTTGCCACGACTTCGAGGCAATTGACGCGGCTTCACGACAGCTGCCGCGACTTTGCCGCAGTGGTGCCTCGACGGTTGCCGTTTTTACGACAGCTGCCTCGACTTTGCGCCAGACAGCTGCCGTTTTATTTCCCAAATATGTTATATGTTTGTTTTATAATTTGCCAATATGTGATAATACAATACTGCCTTTAAAAGTACTAGTGTTGGTAGTTATTGTTGTACCTTGCTTAATCTTATAAGAAGCAGGCGAGGCGTGAAATACGTTTCATGAACTTTTAATGTCAACTAGCACAGTCCGCTGTAATGCTACCCGGGGTCTGTCGCGCTCCGCACTGCGCATGTCCCTCAGCACTGACTAGGGAATGCTGGGTGATGGAGTTCTTTACCTTAACAGTAACCAGTAACATCTAGTAACATCACAGTTATTATTAACTATGAACTATTATTAACTATTATTATTATTCCTGCCCAGTGCAATAACACAATAAATCATCCCATGCTAAATAATGACAATAATAACCCTGTACTGCTGTGATGTTGCTGCTCTTTCCTCTTCCTCTTTTACAAATTATTATTATTGTCTCTTTTGGAAGGTTATTCTTTTGTTTGAGTTTATTTAAATTAATAATTGAATATTTCTATCTTATTATATTGTATATAATGTGACATTATTTTTATCTTTATATTCTATTTTCTTCCCTGTACATGCTGCTGTGATACCAACATTTCCCTCTTGAGGGATCAATAAAGTATCTATCTATCTATCTATTGTTTTAGTAATAAAAAGCCAGTAAGTGATACAACGGCTTCCCATTTTAGTGCAGCTAAGCGAATATGGACTAAGATCACTTGCCGCCCTGGTTACAATCTCTACTTTGAGAACTAATCAATGGGTATGTGATTTATATGAACAAACAATAACACTGGGTGGGTGCCATCAAGACGTGTCTAAAATTGAATGTCGGTATATAATAGGAGTTACCAGTATTTTCATTTAAATTAATGTTGACTACAATTGTTGACAAAAGAATTTGCCTGAGCTAGATTGTGTGCATGACTGTTTTTAGATATCCAGTGATTGCACAAAAGCTGCTGGATTAAAGTATTAACCTTATTCTATATTGTTTCATGATCAGGCAACAGACAGTACCTTCATGATGGATGTTCCGTAAAAGGAAAAATGAAATTTTTTAAATTATATTTATTTCCTTTTGACTATATCTGTTGTGCTTGTGAAGAAGCGACCACCCAAACGCAAGGGAACGTAAAGTGTTTTAATGAACACAAACACAAACAGAAGAATACGGGCGTTTGGCCGGCAACGGTGAAGCCCAGTGAGCAGAGAACGAGGTCCAGGCCGAGGGAGAGCGCACCAGACAGCTGTCAGCTCACGTCAAACAGGAAGCTGTGTAAAGCAGAGGTTAGCAACGCTACGTTAACAGCCGTGGCACCTCTCCCTTAAACTCCGGCTCCCTTAACAGCCGTGGCACCTCTCCCTTAAACTCCCGCTACGTTAACAGCCGTGGCACCTCTCCCTTAAACTCCCGCTACGTTAACAGCCGTGGCACCTCTCCCTTAAACTCCGGCTCCCTTAACAGCCGTGGCACCTCTCCCTTAAACTCCCGCTACGTTAACAGCCGTGGCACCTCTCCCTTAAACTCCCGCTACGTTAACAGCCGTGGCACCTCTCCCTTAAACTCCCGGTACCTCTATCAGCCGATGCACCGCTCCCTTTTGTCGTTGCATGCCTCCGTTAGGTCGTGGCAAGACTCCCTTAACTCGAGGTACCGCTGGAGGTACCTCTCTCGACCGATGAACCGGTCCCTGAATTCGTGGTACCGCTCGAGGTACCTCACTCAGCCGAGGCAACAGGCGAGGCAGTTGCCGTAAACTCGAGGCAGCTGCCACGATTCGCCGCGGCACCGCAACCTGCAACAGGAAGTGCCTCAGCGAGTTGCCGGTGCCACAATTTGCGCTAGCCCTCTCTCCTGCACAGAGTGGCGACAGAGTGCTCCGTGCCCCGTCCCCCTTTTGGCTCTTGGGTCCTCTCAACCGGTGGTAAGTGTTCTCCCTCTCCGTGTTAGACCGAACGATATTCTGTGGCTAACGTTATTGTGGTCACAGGTAGATGTCTTCCTGCCGTGTGGGTTTTTCTCCCCCTCCCCCTCTCCCTGTGCAGGTTTGACCTGGGAAACAGGTACTTGACTTTAAACTAGCTTCCAAAAGTCTTTGACATGTAGCTTGACCATACTAACCCTATGTTCATTGACAGGGAATGCTCATCAGCTGGCTGAAATCCACCGGGGGTGATTTATGTGACAACACTCAGTTGATTCGGGCGACTGCTGCTTTGCCTGCAACTTTGACGGCTGCTTTGCCTGCAACTTTGACTGCCGCTTTACTGAGTAGTTAATCGTTTAGTTTGTATTTCTTTTGGTTTGTTCCATTTATTTTCTTTTGGTTTGGGTTACGTAAATTGTTTGGGATTAGGATGATTTTTATGTGAATTTTCTTTTTCTGTTTTGTGTTGTAAATTTTTGGTTTAATCCTCTTGTAAACCTTCTTTTTTTGTCATCCTTCCCAGCGGCTGTAGGCTGGTGGTGGCGCCGGTGGTGTCGGTGGTGGTGGTCTTCTTCGTGTGTCGTGTCCCATTGGGTTGTTGTGCTATCACTGGGTGAACTCTGGTTTGGTTTTCTCTAAGTTTGTTCTATTAATTTTCCTTCCCCTTCACCGGCGCTTCTCACCATTAGGCCTTAGCGATTACAGTGATCCCTCGCCACTTCGCGGTTCACTTATCGCGTATTCGCTATTTCGCGGATTTTCATATTGCATTTTTTTTTTTTTTTGGTGCATTGTGCTCTGCATTCTGATTCGCTAAAAACTCACTCCCGAGCCGTTCATTACAGTTCTCCAACGTAATCGATGGTGGCATGTCGGTGTACAAGGATCTTTTTGCAAAGAAGAAAAAAGAGCGACAACAGCTGCCTATCACTATGTTCTTCTCCCGAACAAACACACCTGCACCGCGGGCTTCAGAAGAAGAGAACACTGCAGAGCGCAGTCAGGATGCAGCGGCCCAGTCTGAAGAGCAGTGAAACGGCCTACACGCGAGTCACTGTATTTGTATACATGTAATAGTTGCTAATTGTAAAAAAAAAAGTTTTCTATTTCGCGGATTTCACTTATCGCGGGTCATTTTCGGAACGTAACCCCCGCGATAAACGAGGGATTACTGTAGTTGTCTTTTCTTATTTTGTGAGGAATGTTAGATTTTTACGGGAATGTATATTTATTGAATAAAAATGTTTTTGTAACCTGGGAACCACGAGCCCTTGCCTGTTGAGTGAAACAAACCTGCGTGCTTTAAAAGGTCTTGGGCCTATCCCAAGTGGCATTGCCGGTAGAATAGGGAACCATTTTGCCACACCTGCATCTGCTACATGACATAAAACACTAGTTTTGTAATCATTTGAAGAAACATGTGCGGTTCATTTAATTTTGTTGAGATGATGGTGTGTGACTTTGAATATGACAAGAATTACAAAGGAGAAACGTTGTGCAAGTGTACCACTACGCCCTCAATGGCCCCTGATTAGAATGTGAAGGGTCAAAGGAGATTTCTTAAATTAGATCGTAATCAGCATTATTCTAACACTGACCTATTGTGACTTAAAGTGTCCAAGCCCAAAGAATCTAGTCTGTTAACTGGAGACATTTTTGGAAAAATGTCAAATGTTTTACAAAGATTACAGTGTGGTATTGTGGCTTGACTACATCTGCCTACAACTCAGATTATTCTATTCAAACATCAAACTCTATTCCCTCATTTATTCTAATTTTTGATTGCACGTGGATTGACTGTGCAAAGACGGTGCCTTTATGATTTCCCTTCAAATGAAAACAACTATTTGTTTCCTCTCAAAACAAGTCAACCTCCTCAATATGGGGGTCTATATATCTCTTTTCAAAACCCCTTTACATTACATTAAATTTAAGTGGGAATAGTTCACATTGTAGCCTGATACCATCACGCAGGCTGAAACTTGTGGGTATCATTTCACATCAATATTATTTCTTATGTTACAACCTTATTCCAAAATGGATTATATTCATTATTTTCCTCAATATTCTACACACAACAACCCATAATAACAAAGTGAAAACAGTTTTTTGCAAATTTTTGCAAATCTGTTAAAAATAAAGAACAAAAAAATAACACGTACATAAGTATTCACAGCCTTTGCTCAATACTTTGTTGAAGCACCTTTGGCAGCAATTACAGCCTCAATTCTTCTTGGGTATGATTCCACAAGCGTGGCACACCTATTTCTGGGCAGTTTCTCCCATTCTTCTTTGCAGAACCTCTCCGTCAGGTTGGATGGGGAGCGTTGGTGCACAGCCATTTTCAGATCTCTCCAGAGATGTTCAATCGGGTTCAAGTCAGGGCTCTGGCTGGGCCACTCAAGGACATTCACAGAGTTGTCCCGAAGCCACTCCTTTGTTTTCTTGGCTGTGTGCTTCGGGTCGTTGTCCTGTTGGAAGATGAACCGTCGCCCCAGTCTGAGGTCCAGAGCGCTTTGGAGCATGTTTTCATCGAGGATGTCTCTGTACATTGCTGCATTCATCTTTCCCTCAATCCTGACTAGTCTCCCAGTTCCTCCCGCTGAAAAACATCCCCACAGCATGATGCTGCCACTACCATGCTTCACTGTAGGGATGGTATTGGCCAGGTGATGAGCAGTGCCTGGTTTCCTCCAGACATGACGCTTGGCATTCAGGCCAAAGAGCAGTAGGGCCGAGATCCTCCTTGTGGCAGTGGCAAGTGGGTGGCAACTTTGTGGCAGGCAGCGGCAATCGCCAGTAAATCAGTCGGCGTCACAACGGCACGCTGGGTGGGAGGAGCCAATTTTTCCCAGAAACAACTGTTATTTGTACGACAGGTTAGCTGCTGTAAATATTTTATTTTATTTAATTTTATTTGAGACACGAGAGCCCCCGTCTTCTTATTACAGAGGCTAATTTTAGGTTTGGACCGGCGGGTTCCGTGTAGGGGGTGGGGCTCTCAAGTTTGATGCCACCCACTTGCCACTGCCACAAGGAGGATCTCGCTGTCACTCCCAAAGAGTTCAATCTTTGTTTCATCAGACTAGAGAATTTTGTTTCTCATGGTCTAAGAGTCCTTCAGGCGGGCTGTCATGTGCTTTTTACTGAGTGGCTTCCGTCTGGCCACGCTACCAAACAGGCCTGATTTGTGGAGTGCTGCAGAGATGGTTGTCCATCAGGAAGGTTCTCCTCTCTTCATAGAACAACGCTGGAGCTCTGTCAGAGTGACCATCGGGTTCCTGGTCATCTCCCTGACTAAGGTCCTTCTCCCCCAATCGCTCAGTCTGGCTGGGCGGCCAACTCTAGGAAGAGTCCTGGTGGTTCCAAACTTCTTCCATTTCCGGATGATGGAGGCCACTGTGCTCATTGAGTGTGGCCAGCGAAGCTGAGCCAATCTCCTTATTATCTCACATACTTATGATTATTGGGACTTTCAATGCTGCAGAAATCTTTCTGTACACTTCGCCTGATCTGTGCCTCGATACAATTATGTCTCGGAGGTCTACAGATAGCTTGGTTTATGCTCTGAGATGCACTGTCAACTGTGATACCTTATATAGACAGGTGTGTGCCTTTCTCGATCATGTCCAATCAACTGAATTTAGCACAGGTGGACTCCATTAAAGTTGTAGAAACATCTCAAGGATCATCAGTGGAAACAAGATGCACCTGAGCTAAATTTTGAGTGTCATGGCAAAGGCTGTGAATACTTATGTACATGTTATGTTTTCGTTCTTTATTTTTAACACATTTGCAAAAATGAGCAAAAAACAGTTTTCGCTTTGTCATTATGGGTTGTTGTGTGTAGAATGTTGAGGAAAATAATGAATTTAATCCATTTTGGAATGAGGCTGTAACATAACAAAATGTGGAAAAAGTGAAGCACTGTGAATACTTTCTGGATGCACTGTATATTGGCGCACACTTCTCATTTAATAGGTTCATGAAAGCTGCTGTGCATTGGTTTTATAGAAAGATGTTAACTATTACCAACGTCTTTTACCTTTATTTTGATATACCCAAGTTAGAAAGCTAGATAGGGTTGTTTTAGAACAGATGTCTATAAATAATCCAGCTGTTGTGCAACATTTTGTGATAAATCACATTCCAGTATTATATTTTTACTCAAAAGTGAACAAATTGTCCCTGGTTCCGCTAGTCACATATTTGAAATAAGACAAAATAAAGCCCTGTGTCAGTAAATCATGTTGATCTGACCAATATTTTCCTCCTCTTCCTCTTCATGAAGCCAGGCTGGAGTGTAACTCAACCAAGTGGCCAGAAAAGTCCCTGATAAAAAAGCATTCGGACTGTAAGATGCTGGAATAACAATAATATGCATTCCTCCCGTTATTCCAGTATCATCTGAACCGTGTGTCCTCCACTCAGTACAGAAAACGTCACTCTCTTGATGTTTGCAGGATTACAGATGTTTTTACTATCCTGTCACATGTGTACTGTTTAGGACGGCCAAATGCATGGAGCTTTAGAAAAAGGTATTCATTGCTATGTTTGGACTCCTTGTTTAGTCATTGTTTTGCTTCTGGCTGCCTCAATGTAGCAACGTAACTCCTGAAAGTAATGTTGTCACATCCACATCTGTTGAACTGAAATCAACGCGTTGAGCATTTCTCAGTTCTTGAAATGCATTGATAAGATTCCAACAATCAAAATCAACTCTCTTTGGTGGGACTTATCAGAAAAAATGTTTCACAGTTTGGTAAAATTGAAAACATGTCAGAGAGACCACCATTCAGGCACAAACTGATTTTTTTTTTAAACTTTCTCTCATCACCTAATCTATCGCAAGCAGATCAGTAACTCCTCCGTTGTAGGAAGATCCTATAATTATCGTATTAAAACCATAAAAATCCTCAACGCCACGGCTGAAAAGCTGCACACTGTGTTCAGTAGAAGTGTGTTTTACTGGGAGGCCAAGTTCAAACAACTTATCAAGTGCACACATGTCTGGCAGGGATATTCATCTCTGTCGTGTCCTTCACTCCACACCCCTGCAGTGCGTTGACCCACAGGCTCCGTCTGGCTGACGGCCAAGAGACTCGAGTTCATCCAAAACGGACGTGGACGTTGTCTTCATTAAGGCTGTCACAGCAGCTCAGGGACCTTTCAGCACCCAGGCGTCTTCCCCCTGATGCAGGTGTGGGTTTGGGTCAAAGCTCCAGATAAAGGGATGCCATCAGTTTGTGGGTCTATTTCAACACTTGTACAGAGACAGTTAATCCCTTAAGTGAAGTCACAAGAACCCAAACGCAGGTGCTGACATCCTGAAATGATTCTTTGATCTCCATTTATTTAGACATTACGGCCCATGTGAAGACCCCCTTGAGAAGTGCTTAATTGACTGTTGCATATCAAGGATCCATTGAAACCCATAATAGCAGCAGCACTATACATTGCTCAAACCTTTGTATTGGACGTTTTTCTATGCCTCCAGCTTGTAATTATCATCCTTGAGGACATCCTGCTCTTATCAACCTCCATTTAGACGTTCATAGCTTAAAAAGTGGGAGAGAGAGCGAGAGAGAAATAAACGAAGATCCACAAGTGTGGGATGTTTGGATGTGTTTATATTTACTCAGTTGTTTGCTTTTTGACCATTTAGATTAGCGGATTTCAGCAAAAATCACACAGT